TCCATGCAGTATCCTATTCATTTGGGAGTTCTCTTTACTTCCCATCTCGGTTGGGCCCAGCCTTCTCCAGGCAGTCACGAAGGCCCTGTCTTCTCCTATTCTCTTTGCATGAGAGATTCTATCTCTTTTGGGGATGTAGGCATCCTTGGAAGTTCTCATTCCCTTGGGTTGGGAGCACATGCATTCCCTTCATTGAATGCTTCTTGACCAGTGGAACTTCTCCCATGATCCCTTGGAACATCCCATCACCCTTCCACCTGGGATAAGGGCCAACCTTGCTTGGTGGCTTCACAGGGACTTGACCATGGTGGGGATTTCCATACCTCTGCCTCGTCCAGAGTGTCATCTGTTCATCAGGCCCTATATTGTTTCCTTCCCCTCCTGTTTGGTGGGTGGTTATGGTTCATTCTGACAATTCCATTGTCATCAGCCAAGCAATGGGGAACCAAGTCCAGATCTCTGTGTTTTCAGACTCTTGACTTCCTGTACAAGGCCAATGAACATGACATGATGGTTCTAGCATTTCAGGTTCATGGATTTATGAATATCGTGGCCAATTGCTTATCCAGTCCCAACCAGTTTCTCCTCACAGAGTGGTTCCATCATCTTCAGGTACTTCTATAGGTGTGTTCTCAATTGAGAACACTGCATATATGTGTGCATTTGCCACTTACTGGAATGCCAAACTTCCTTCCCTTTGGTCTCCAGTTCCTCACCTTTCAGCTCTGGGGGTGGATGTTTTCAATAAAGATTTGAGGGGTCTTCACCTATATGCCTACCCTTAATCAGAGTCATTTTACTTATCCAGACCACTCCTTGTCATATTCTGCTGGTTGCTCCATATTGGCCAGCTCAGACATGGTTCCCACTGCTCTAGCCCTTTCTGGAGCAACAGCCCCTGCCTTTACCTCTGTCCTGATGATTCCATCTCCATGCGTGGCTTTTATCCGGTCTTTCCTTGCCCGTACCATTCATCCATTCCTCGTCTGTGTACCAGAGGCATTGGTTTTACTTCAGACTATGGTCCATTTGCCATGGCTTCCAACCATCCCATCCTTCTGTTCTTCACCTGGTTGTTTGATCAGGATTTGTCTGTTTCAACTGTTGTTTGTTTTAGGGCTGCCCTGCTGAACACCATTCCTTCTTCTGTTTCCAGAAAGCCTTCTCTTACCTGGTTATTTTCCTCCTTTTCCATTCCTTTTGTCTGGTCTGTCTGCTACGTCTCTTTGTTCTGCTAGATTGGGATCTTAGTGTTGTCCGTCATGCCCTGTCTGGTTCTCTGGTTTCTATGAATATTCCTTTTTAAAACGGATATTAAACCCTAATTTATATTGTTGATACATTTTCGACTTAATTTCATTCAATAACCTGCATTTTGAACCAAGAATTATATATCCAACAGAGCTCATAATAAAAAGAAGTAATAACAGTGATATGCATGCTCATTATTTAGATATAGACATTAATTTAGCAGAAGGCAGTATACAGTTGACTATTTTTGATAAAAGAAGGGAATTTGAGTTTCCCATCCTTGGTTTACCCATCTCTAACAGCATTGTTTCATCGGTATTGTTAAAAGG